GCGGCACAGCGGTTTCACCGATGCTTAAGGCATTGAGACTCTGACCCAAACTGAGGTCCACAAAAGGAGCAGGGCCACATGCATACGGAAGTGTGTACTACATAATCTACTGGGTAAAGTTGGGATTGAAATAAAGGGGCCCCGGATTCTACTGCAACTGCTGTATATCAACAAAATAAACACAGTTTTTGTTGGGGGTGGGGTTTCTCAAATCACCTCAATTTCTTTCAAAGTGCTGTTTCAGTGTTATTTTTTGGGCAACATAAATTACCTCAACTTCTTTCGAAGTCACTCGATTTTACTCATTTACATTTTTAGCCGCACAGAATGCAATAATCTCAAAGAGGCTCAATGGAAGCTCTAACAGTCTCAGGGGGAACTCAAATGGACTCAAATAAATTATTTAACCACTAACATTATGATAACACTGTTTACCCCGAAAGATTTTGAACTCGACGTTTCCTAGCGGCCATTTGGTACCATAGGGTCTTTTGCCTATGAAGGTAGATCTACCGCTCCGGACATGCACGACGCGACCAAGTCTCCATCAAACCCTGAGGAAGAGTTCCAAATCTCTCAAGATAAGGGAGCGATCATCGAGGCCATTGACGCGCTCTTTGCCCTGGCCGATGACAGTAACGTTTGCCTGAAGTGTGGTGAAAGCGGACATCCCAATTATGAGTGTCCGACAAAAGGTGGCGATCAAGTAAAATCTGCTTTGATCAACCTGAGGAAGAAACTACAGGGTGATGATGTCGAGGACAAGGAAATGTCCAAGGAGGATGATGGCGAGGGACAAGATCGTTTCTGCCAAGAGAACTACAAGGCCACCAGGGAAGGAGAGTACATGTACCTCCAATCTATCCCGTTGTCGGTGATCGGCGATCGAGCACATGGTGAGAAGAGCATTAACGGGGTGAAAGCCGATGAGAAGGGCCCAATGACGAAAGGCGAGCTGAACCACATCGTCGACACGGCCAGTCAGAAGGGCATCACCATCACCTGCAAGGAGATGAGATCGGCGATGGCGCACTCCGACCACAGGATGTACAAGAAGCTCATGATCGGAACCGACATCGGGAAGCTCAAAATCCTACCGGTCAACGGCGGCAAGTTCTACTCCAACGGCTATGCTGGACATGGAGTTGAGTTCCCATTGCCGACAGAATCCAATGCGAACCGAGTTCATTTGGAGAACTGGGAGAACAACTACAGCTACTACTTCAACAAGGCCTTGCGACACCACATCGGACGAAAAGACGTGTGGGAGAAGACCAAGGGCGGAAAGAAGACAATGTTCTCTGGACTCAAATGTGACGAAGCCGGTTGGGTGGACATTATGGACTTTCTGCATCACCCATGGATCTTCGATCACGAGAACGTTCGTGTTGAGGATGATGGACTCATCGATGTTGACTACCGAGAAGATCGTGTGAACACCATGATCAAAACTGTTTGGTCAGAGTTCCAAGAAAAGAACAAGGTCCGCATCCAGTTCTATTGCATTGTCCTGGATTCTACCTTCGACAAACCCGATGAATACCTCAGGAACGATAGGAACGTCATGAAGGTCGGCGATGACATCCACAAGCTCATCGCCCAACGCGGAGAAGTCTTTCTTGCGCCCATCGCTGTGGGCTCGCCTGGAGGATTTTCAGCCCAGGGAAATGACTTTCGCCTTGGCTACGGAAGGATTTGCCACCCGATCACCACCAGAATTGCGGATGATCTATGCTTCTGTTATATCACGTGACTGAATTCAAGAACGTGATTGGCATCATCAAAGAAGGTCTACGACCAGGTGGTCACAGAGGAGGACGAACACAAGTGTTCCTTAACCCATTTGTGCCATGGGACAAGCGATACAAGGACATCCTGGGGGGACAATTGACCCACCTCGGGCAACCACGTATGGTCCTGGCATTCAGCGTGCGTCTGGACAGATGGTGATTAATGGAAACATTCCATTCTCTGAGGTGATCGCAGCATGGTATCAGCCCAACACCTATGAATGGGAACGACTACTCGTCGATTCCGGCAAGTTCCAAGGGGTGAGATCATGTCAAGAGCCAAAGGAGATCGCAACAGCAAATACAGTCCTGCGCGTCTCCAAGGCCATGCTGAACGAAATCGATATCGGGGACAACATTCCGTTCTACGACCAGTTCGTCAAGGACATTGAAAAGCTCGAGAAGGCTAATGGAGTGTTGAGTCCCGGTAGCGAACTGAGGAACAGCATTGTGACGTTCATTTCCGAGAACTACACCCCGAGAGAGGCTGGACATTTGATCTGCCCTGCGTGTCTCACTGAGACTCCGAATATTCTATCCATTTGCATCAGATGCCATGGTTCATTGGTCAGCTGGGGGGAGAAGACAGCAAAGCAAGACGATAGCACCGCCCCGGGCATGCCAGAACGTGAACGTCAAGAAAGCGGAGATGGCACTGATGACAACGACGAGGATGTCGAGATGGAGAACGAGGACCAAGATGAGATTGATCGATTGGTCAGGGAGTCCAAGAGAACAGCAGGAAGTGAGTCCGATAATGACGTCGACATGACGGACGCGAAGCCGAGCAGACCACAAACGAGATCTGGAAGCGGGCGAGAACGCACTGCCCCAGACCACAAGGTTGCATTCGGCAGCAACACCAAGGAACAGCAGAAAGAAGAGGACGAGAGAGTCGCCCAAGAACAAGAACATGACGAAGAGCAGAGAGAAGCCAGAATCAAGTTACCATTATGGACAGCGAGGACGATTCAGGCATCTATCATTCATTGTATCGACATTGCTCAGAACGAGGATGCAATCGACAGCACTGCAAGAGCAGTAGACGGGATGATCCTCACGTACCTGAAAGATCGATACAAGCTCTATAACGTCTGGACATCGATGGCATCTGCGCAGCAGTACTATGATCACGTCAAGAAGATCAAACTTCTGCCAGAGTATGACGGGTACATCCCCTACGTTGGTGAAGACGCCAACGACGAGCTGAAGGAGCCCACGGAGGAGCAACTCAAGGAGGCGTTCCACACCAATGCCAAGAATGGTAAAGTTGGTGGAAGGGATCTGGAAGTTTACTTGAAAGGGGTGAAGGGCATCAAAGTTCTTTGCAGAATCATGAAGTACCTCGTCCAGACTGGGGTAACGCCACAGCTTATTTACTCCAAGATCGCCGATGTCACTGATGATGATGAGGAACGTCAACAAGAAATACGACGGGAGGCATCCGACTTCATTCGCAAGATTATCTCAGGTGCCTTCGCTGTACGATCCTACGATTATTTTAGGGTCAAGGGTCAATCCACCTCGACTAGATGATCACATTCACATCGATCCCGTGGAATTGGCATGCGCAGTGAGAGAGAGATCGCGAACTTTCACTGTCCTCGTGACGCTCAACAAGATTGGCCTAGCTTTGCCACAACAACTACAGAAGATATGGGAGGGAAAGCTCAAGGCCGTCACTCAGAGCGCCGCGCAAATGAAGGCGAGTTTCAGATCACTCGACCCATCCGAACGCGAAAATGCACGAGATTATGTTCGAGCACTCGCTGATGCGCAAGCCACGGAGGAAAGAGCTTCGTCTAGCACGAGGGAATCCAACAAGCAGAAGAAACGGCGCAAACAATGAAGAGCACATGGTCTTTGTCATGGACGAGAACATGTGAGAGGACTCTGAGCGCCGGGCTTATTCAAATAGGGGCCTACGCACTAGGGATACGAAGTTTCCCAGTGCGATGGCACAACTTTCCAATGAATATGAACTAGGGTAGGACACCCTAGTAGTACGGCGCAATTCATAAGGGGCGTGGAAAGCCGGAGGTTGAGCGACCCCGGTGAGTACGCAAACCTCCAATCACAGAGCCGTACCATGTACAGTTTTTGAGATCACAATTCGCAAATGTGTGACCGGAAATTTTAAACCTGGTGTTCACTCCTGTGCCTGACACCCACGCCGTAGGTTGATCGACCGCGGCTGGGGAAGTCAGGCATGGGGGGTGTAAGTTGAACCCAGGTCACAGGTAACAAGATCACATCAACATTGTGCGGCATGTCAATTCATCATGAGCCTGCATCCCCCGATGCATTGGCTCAAGGGCCTGACGGCTCAAGACACGAAGCCGCCTATAGCAATGGAAAAGGTGTGAGCGCTGCCGGAACTTGGACTGGAGATTGACACGGGCAAGATTCAAAACACTGTCTACTACACGACATCCAACGAACCCGAGCCTATTCACAAAAAAAATTGCCACCCGGTGTCAAAGTGGCAAAAAAATGTTTTGCTGCTAGATGTCTGGGGCTGGTTCATCATCACTACTGCCGCTGGAATCGCTGCTGCTGCCAAAAAACTTCGCCGTGCAAACGCTTCATGGCAATAGCCCCCGGTCAAACATCAAAATCAGGTTGTCAAAAATGCCCCGTGAATTCAATAAGTATGTCACTATGCGGTAAAAAAAATCCAAGTCTCAAGCAAAAACCACCCATTCCATGAAATCATTGAAACCACCATGCTCAAGCCAAAACCCTATGGGCCGATGGCCCTCGATGACTATGCTCAGAGTGTGGCACTGGCGTTCCAATATGTTGTCCAAACAGACTTGGGTCACCTGACTTTGATTGTGCGCGCCAAGGCCTGAGGTGAACCCTTTTTCAAATCCAACATGGGTCTTTTACATACATTGGGGCTCCATTTGGGGCTGCTCATGTGCTGCCCCCTGGGCTCCACATTTTGCATACGGACATGGCCACAGACAAACAGGGTAACGTTTGATATAAGTCATATGCATTTTGCGTTTTTCTGCTGAAACTATGTGTTATTTTTTGGACTTTACTTTGGCGGGCCATCTTGCAATTTCCATAAATTTCCATAAGCATAAGTTTCCCATTCCAAGTTTGATGCCGACAAATCGTTCGGATTCTTCACAGGCCAGTGGGGGCCAGAAGAGCCATTTCCTCTTCCCCGCCCACGCCAAGGAAACCCAACCTTCAGCAATGGAATGGTTTCACTTCCGCTGTCCTTCGCTTGCCCTTCTGTGACTAGTTGGTGGTTGTTTTTTTAAATTTTCCATCCCTGCTGTGCTATGTTTTTTCTTTTGATTATATATAGCATGGCCAATTCCTGATGACAATCTGGTCTAACAGCCAACAAGATTCCACTTTAGGATCCAAAGCTTCGATATCAGATTTTCACCAATTGTTACCTATATTTCTCTCAGATTCTCTCCGTCTTGTAGGAATATGTTGGAGCCAGCTACCTCCACCAGTGGCCTCCAGATCATCAGCGGTGCCCATAGCAGTTCTGCTCCGCTTCTGGCCCTCGGTGCCATGGCCTCCCTCGGCTCAGCGGCCTCGCTGGCCGCAGCAGCGTGCACCTTGCCGGTGGCAGAGGGACAGCCCAGCTGCAGCGATGGCTGCCAACCCTTCGCGCATGTGGAACTGGTGGGGGCACATCCCAATGTGACTGATTACCCTGCTCACCAGGGCTGACTGCAGTTTTACATACACTTTCCATAAACAGGTGGCCGTTTGGGCCTATTTATTTTTTTTCAATTTTTCATGAAATTGACGATGTGAACTTTGGGAATGGTGGACAATTGGAAACCTCGAAAATATAATATTTTTTCCCGAGAGCGTTTGAGCCCAGGGTTCTTCCAATAGTGTGGGTCTGTATCTCATCTTCTTCACATCTTCTCATCTTCACACCTTCTCATCTTCACATCTTCTCATCTTCACATCTGCTCATCTTCGCATCTGCTCATCTTCACATCTGCTCATCTTCACATCTTCTCATCTTCACATCTGCTCATCTTCACATCTTCTCATCTTCACATCTGCTCATCTTCACATCTTCTCATCTTCACATCTGCTCATCTTCACATCTGCTCATCTTCACATCTGCTCATCTTCACATCTTCTCATCTTCACATCTGCTCATCTTCACATCTGCTCATCTTCACATACTCACATCTTCTCTTTCTCTCTCTCGCACTCACATCTTCACATACTCACATCTTCTCTCTCTCTCTCTCTCTCTCTTTCCTCTCTCCTTTCTCTCTCTCCTTTCTCTCTCCCTTTTCTCTCTCTCGCCTTCTTTATCTTTCTCTCTTTAGGCCGAGGGTGGTGCCGGCCGGGAGTCACGAAACGTCAACCCTTTCGCACGAAATGATGGTCGATGCGCAAAAACTGAGGAAAAATTGCGATTTTACTTGTGCTGGAGCAACCATTTCGCACGAAATGAGGGTCGATCGTCAAAAATTGAAGTAAAATTGCGATTTTACTTGTGCCGGAGCAACCCTTTCGCACGAAATAAGGGTCGATCGTCATTAACTGAGGAAAAATTGCGATTTTACTTGTCCCGGAGCAACCCTTTCGCACGAAATGAGGGTCGATCGTCAAAAACTGAAGTAAAATTGCGATTTTACTTGTGCCGGAGCAACCCTTTTGCACGAAATAAGGGTCGATCGTCAAAAACTGAGGAAAAATTGCGATTTTACTTGTCCCGGAGCAACCCTTTCGCACGAAATGAGGGTCGATGCGCAAAAACTGAAGTAAAATTGCGATTTTATTGTGCCGGAGCAACCCTTTCGCACGAAATGAGGGTCGATGGTCAAAAACTGAGGAAAATTGCGAATTTACTTGTGCCGGACTTGTCCCGGAGCAACCCTTTCGCACGAAATGAGGGTCGATGCGCAAAAACTGAAGAAAAATTGCGAATTTACTTGTGCCGGACTTGTCCCGGAGCAACCCTTTCGCACGAAACGATGCTGGATGCGCAAAAACCGAGGTAAAATTACGATTTAACTGGTGTTGGATGTAAAAGGGTGTGAGTGTAAGAGTGTAAGCGTTTGTGTGTAAGAGGGTCTGTGTGTAAATGGGATCCGTGTGTCGCAGCTTCTGTGTGTCAAAGGGTTTCTGTGTCAAAGTGTCTGTGTGTAAAAGGGTTTGTGTGTAAAAGTTTCTGTCTGTGTGTAAGAGGGTCTGTGTGTAAAAGTGTTTGTGTGCAAAAGGGTCTGTGTGTGTGTGTAACATCTAAATAGATGTAAAACTTCTCTCTTTTTCTTCCTTCCGTCCTCTCCCTTTCTAATCTTAATGCAGGGGGTGGTAGCAGGGTCCAGAGTCTACCACCAACGAAGACACTCTGTTATCCCTGGTGATACATGGCCTGATCAGCCATGCGTACCTGCATCTCGAATTTCCGAAATAGCAAGGGGCTAAGCTCAGAACCCCAAACACGATGAATTTATTTCTTCACGGTTGCCACAATCTGTATTTTCGCCGAAACCATGTCGCCGATGTATTTTGATTATTTCGCCGATGTATTTTTGATGACGATCTTGGATATTGAAATCATTCAGGAGAACTTCTATTATTCATAGGATGCATCGTGAATTAATTTGTTTCCCATCTAATCTGCATGTTACAAGATTCAGTTCCTGCCGGATCACTTCAATGATCCATTCTTATCTAGTGTGATTCCTATGGTGACTCCGACATGGTGCCATAGGGCCAATTGAGGCAACCCCAGTTGGGGTCAATGTCGACTGACTGGAACTCCGAATTTACACTTTTGAATTAGTAATTCGTCTAAGTAAAGTGCAACAGTCATCCTTGCGGTTTTTCAGCCTTTTCGAGAGTCCCGCGGCTCCGGACGTCCCAGGGACCCCAGTGATCTGCACTTTTTCAAGTGAATCTGTTCGGAACAGTCAGAAACCTATTTTTTTCACTGCAGCTTCAGTTTTGACATATCACTTGCACAACAACATGACAAAGCGATCAGGCAGGCACACGACTTGCAGGTGTGGTCTTTTTCTTTTGATGGTTGTCTGGAGAGGTGAAACATATTGTGCACCTAATTCGTTGGAACTTGACAGCCGTTATATGCCATTGGGGCACGATTCGACCCCGGTCCCGGTGTAGGGAACAATTGCACGACATCTAGGTAAATTAGGAACTGAGTCCTGTTTTTAATTAATTGTTTTGGTTTCCTTGTCTGTCATCAACTAGTCCCCCATTTGGTCCCTAATTTTTTCCCCGCTGCCTCTCCGTAATGTGTCGTGGGGTTTAGGTGTGTGCGCTGTTTTGGTTAGGTCCGTCTCGCCGTGTAGGTTGGTTTTGGAGGTCCGTTTGTTCCCCTCCCCCCCCTGCTCTGTTTTGGCCTTCTGTCCGTCGTCTGTGTCCGCTTTTTTCTTCCTCTTGCCTTTCAGGGTTGACCCGGCTCCGGCCGGGTGTGTTTGTGTGTAACATCTAAATAGATGTAAAACTTCTCTCTTTTTCTTCCTTCTGTCCTCTCCCTTTCTAATCTTAATGCAGGGGGTGGTAGCAGGGTCCAGAGTCTACCACCAACGAAGACACTCTGGTTTCCCTGGTGATACATGGCCTGATCAGCCATGCGTACCTGCATCTCGAATTTCCGAAATAGCAAGGGGCTAAGCTCAGAACCCCAAACACGATGAATTTATTTCTTCACGGTTGCCACAATCTGTATTTTCGCCGAAACCATGTCGCCGATGTATTTTGATTATTTCGCCGATGTATTTTTGATGACGATCTTGGACATTGAAATCATTCAGGAGAACTTCTATTATTCATAGGATGCATCGTGAATTAATTTGTTTCCCATCTAATCTGCATGTTACAGGATTCAGTTCCTGCCGGATCACTTCAATGATCCATTCTTATCTAGTGTGTGTGTGTCTCTGTGTGTGTGTGTAAAAGTGTCTGAGTGTAAAAGCTTCTGTGTGTAAAAGTGTTTGTGTGTAAACGGGTTTGTGTGTAAAAGTGTTCCTGTGTAAAGATGTTTGTGTGTAAAAGTGTTTGTGTGTAAAAGTGCATCTGTGTAAAAGGGTTTGTGTGTAAAAGCTTCTGTGTGTAAAAGTGTCTGTGTGTAAAAGGGTTTGTGTGTTAAAGCGTCTCTGTGTAAAATGGTGTGTGTGTGCAGAAGGGTTTCTGTGTAAAAGGTGTTTCTGTGTCACAGCGGCAATGTGTGTGTAAAAAGCGTTTGTGTGTAAAAGTGTTTCTGCGTAAAGGTGTTTGTATGTAAAACCGTCTGTGTGTAAAAGCGTTTGTGTGTAAAAGCGTCTGCATGTAAAAGCTTCTGTGTGTAAAAGCGTCTGTGTGTAAAAGTGTTTGTGTGTAAAAGTGTGTGTGTGTGTAAAAGTGCCTGTGTGTAAAAGCGTCTATGTGTAAAAGCTTCTGTGTGTAAAAGCTTTTATGTGTAAAAGCGTCTGCGTGTAAACGCTTCTGTGTGTAAAAGCTCCTGTAAAGGGTCTTTGTTAAAAGTGTCTGTGTGTAAAAGCGTCTGTGTGTAAAAGTGTCTGCGTGTAAAAGCGTCTGTGTAAAAGCGTCTGTGTGTAAAAGCTTCTGTATGTAAAAGCTTCTGTGGGTAAAAGCTTTGTGTGTAAAAGCATCTGTGTAAAAGCGTCTGTGTGTAAAAGGTTTTTGTGTAAAAGCTCTTGTGTGTACAAGCGTCTGTGTGTAAAAGGGTCTGTGTGTGAAAGTGCCTGTATGTAAAAACTTCTGTGTGTGAAACCTTCTGTGGGTAAAAACTTTGTGTGTAAAAGCGTCTGTGTAAAAGCGTCTGTGTGTAAAAGCTTCTGTGTGTAAAAGCCTTTGTGTGTACAAGCGTCTGTGTGTAAAAGGGTCTGTGTGTGAAAGTGCCTGTATGTAAAAGCTTCTGTGTGTGAAAGCTTTTGTGTGTAAAAGCTTCTGTGTGTAAAAGCTTCTGTGTGTAAAAGCTTTTGTGTGTAAAAGCGTCTGTGTGTAAAAGCTTCTGTGTGTAAAAGTGTTTGCGATGCAAACTATTGTCTTGCACTTCTGCTATTTTGTCTTGATACTCCTCTTCTCGACTGCCTATAACACCTCTTTAATATATTGTTTTGTAATATGGTGCCTCCATACTAACAAGAGAAGACCCTGCTCCTCCACGCTCTCGGGCCATCCGTCGTCTAGTTTTTTTGGGACATGGGCTGAAACCAACCAGGTGACGATAGATGAAAGCAGCTACACCTTCACTTGTCCTGAGGAGGGTTGTGGGGTGGATAGCTCTTGTTCCCTGACGGCAGTGGAGAACAGGTGCGATCTAGGCTATGTGGATGGACGCCCTTTTAGCACAGAGGACGGGCCGGTGGTCTCTAGCCTCATTCAGAGCAAGGCCTCTGCGTGGGCAGAAGATCTGGGACCAGCAGGCAGGGTTTCATTTGTTATTGTAACTCTTTAACTAGAGGCCTTGACTGGCTGGTTTTCTTTGCTCACAACTGATGTAATTAATCTTATGCCATTTCCAATTTTGAGGATCTTATTCGGCAGATGCCAGCAGTGGATCTATTATCTTGGCCCATCTTGGCGCATTCCGTGTCTGCAGGTGTTGCTCTGAATGCCAGCAAGGCGCAGGCTTGGCGCCTTAGTGGCCTTGCAGAGCACAGCAGCGTGGCAGCCTTCGCCCGTGCAGCACTGGAGCTGATGGCCGTGGGGGCACCAGCAGAGTTGGTGGCCGATGCGCATCAAGCTGCCATTGATGAGGTGATTGGCAAATCAGACGCACATGTACTAGACATATACATCTAGAATCATGTATAGTACAAGTGTATATATATATGATTATATATGCTATATATATATATATGCTATATATATATATATATGCCATATATATATATATATATGCTATATATATATATATTGACATTCTTTCAGAAGGTTAGGCTGAGGCTGGTAAAATGTGACTTCCCATCGCGTTTTTATGTTCAAGGGAGATTGCCTTTTGGTAGTTCTATGCCTCCTCCCCTGTGTAACAAGTGTCGTGAGACATTTGCACAGGAGGGGGACACGTGGTGTGTTGGGTGCACAGGTTGGGAGGCTCTTGGAAGAGAGCTTTCAGGGCTCTGGGACGTGCCTGGGGCAAGGTTGCTTGCCAACGACTTCGTCCTCTCCTGTGCACGCCAAGTCAGAGCCCTCAGGACACTGAGTGCTGGTCTATCTCGGTCGGCTGGCAGTCAGGCGTGCTCGCCTCCCTCATCCGCGCCGCCGAGAAGAAGCCGCAAACTCTGAGGTCCGAGGAGCGCTCCCACGTGTGAGACGAGAACTACCTCCACCTCCTTCTCCTCCACGTCCAGCTGCTTCCAAGGAAGAGGAGGTTTCCGAGGAGGACGAAGAAGAGGACGAGGAGGTGCCGGCACGCTTTGAAGGAGCGGAGCCAAAGAGGAAACCCCCTGGACCTGATAGCCCCGATCGTGACAGGGGGCGGGATCGATCCAGGAGACGTCACTCAGACGCTGGCACTCGCCGTGCGTCAGGGCGTCCTAGAGAAGAGGAGAAGAAGTCAGAAAGGAGGACAGATCACAAGAAAAGGCGCCATTCTACATCAGAGATTAGAGAGAGCAGCAGAGAATCCTCATCTAGCCGTGCATCGAAAAGTCACAGCTTCCTTGCTGGAGTAGGCGCCCTTCGCGGGGGACGAGATGCCCTCGACCGTCTTTGAAGCCGTGATGGACTCTACACCATGTGGAGAGGAAGCACAAATCTCAGACATTCCCAGCTGGTCATCACTCTCACCAGTGAGGTCAGGTCATCGAAGTATGGATGCCGTCCACTAGCTGGGACAGGTACGCAGACGCATGGGCCAGTTTCGTGGTTCTAGAGGTAGGGACCTGGCAAGACAGTTCTATCACTCTGGAATGTCACCATTTAGGATGTCAGGAACAAGAGGAAGCTGGCACTTTGCTAGACGGCATCTTCAATACGAGGCCTTTCTTTCTACATCTTTGCCTTTCCGAGCCTTGCCTGGCCGCCGCATATCCAGACGTGGACTTGGACAGGTACTTGCATGTGACCCGCGTCAGGTTGTGGAGCTGGTCCAACTACGCCGAACAGGGCCCAGGATATGTTCCTCAAGAAAGACTGGAACGAGGACTGAAGTGTTGGAGAAAAGGATCAAAGATACCAAGAGCCCTCGCCCCAGGAAGTCTACCCCGAAGACCGGTAGGGCCCCCAGGGCAAAGACCGCTTCAAAGAAGTCACCTACAGGCGAGGAAAAACCCAAGAAGGAAAAAGCGAAGCCGGCCGAGCTGTCGGCAGAAAAGTTACGAGAGAAACTTTGGAAGACAAAGGAACGTCTTCAAGCAGCCTCTGGGACCCCTGGTCCAACCCTGGAGGTGGCCGACTCCGAGGAAGACCTTGGGGAAACCGGTGCCTCGACCTCCGACGATTCAGACTCTGTGGAGCACGAGATGTTGAGGAGAGGTCGCTTCGGAGACGACGACAGTGGGCTGGCCCCGGCCGCGCCCCTGAAAAAGGCGAAGAAGGCTCAACGGAGAGGAGCCCCTAGGGGTCACAAGAGACGGTACTACGAAGAGCTTGAGTGGACAACTGGTACAACAGGCCCTTCAAGTCACTCAACATCGCCAGAAAGAGAAGAAGAACAAAGGGGCGAAGAGCGGGTCCAAGATAGAGAAGCTAGCCAAGATCTTGGGCCAACTTCTGGGCGAGAAGGGCGGCTCGAACGGCGACCAAGGGGGAGACAAGAAGAAAAAGAAGAAGAAAGGAGACAAGAAGAAGAAGAGGAAGCTGAAAGATGGAGTGATAGTTTCCTCAGAGAGCAATTCAGCCGACTCTTCAGAGAAGGAAGAGACCGAGGAAGCTTCTTCGGAGACGGATATGGAAGCCCCCCTACGCCGGAAGTCGAAGGAGCACCCTGGCTCGGTGCTGGCGATGCTGATAACCCACATCAAGGACCAGATGGATCAGTCAGCAGTGACAGAAACAGGATCGAGCAGGGGCCTAGTTACGACAGGTATCAAAGTGATGAGCTATTTCAATCTATTTCAACCTTTTCGTCAAGCCCACACATCCCGGCTACAACAGGGAACTCCGGGAGATGCACCACACGTGCAGCCGCTCTCGATCTCCTGAGGCAAGGAGAAGTGGCAAAGGTGGGCGACACATTAGCAGCCCGATTCATAGCCCTGCATCAATCGATGTTGGACGCCTCCTGGAATACGGCCAGGCATCTGGAATTGTTCCCTATGGAAGATGCCAGCGCCGCCGGACCGGCCGCAATCCTGGCTACCAGGAAGCACGCCCGGGAGGTGTCAAAGGCTCAGGGCATTCTGCCACTAGGCGGCTGGGGTGTTTCCTCTGGCAAGGGCCGTGGAGGAAAAGGCAGAAACGATTGGAGCAGCTTCGAGCCAAACCCCGACAAAGGAAAAGACAAGGGCAAGGCAAAGAAAGGAAAAGGAAAATGGAATCAAGGAAGCAGCTCCCAGTGGGAAAAGGGTCAGAGAGACTGGGAGAAGACCCAGGACAAAGGAGGAGAGAAACCGAAAAGTGCATGACCTCGCTGGCGAAAGCCGTGCGAGTAGAAGAGGGTGCGAGCGTGCCAAACGCCAGCATGCTTGCATTGCCTAGTTTCACCGATGTCATGAAGGCGTGCACGTCCTTTCCACCTAGGTAAGCGGCGGATAGAACGCCGCCTGTTTTTCCAACCGTTGCAAGTTCACTTTCCCTGTGTTTTCTCAGGGTTTTCTGCTTTCGTCCATTTTTTGGACCCTCTCAAATCCTGCGACAAACTACTTCGTTTTATCAATGTTGTATCTGTAAGCGTGTATTTCTTTCTATCACAAGCTTTGCAGGACCTGAGTTAAATTTTGATACACTCCAACTTCGCGAAGGGAAGCGTTCAAAGACTACCATTAAAATCCTCATGAATCCCATCACTTTAACTCACAAACAATGGAATTGGGGTCAAAGCATTTAAATAAACCTGGGACATAGTCAGGCAACAGCATCACTTCCAGAGCGTGTTTCAAATTACTTAAAAAAGTACAGAACATAACATCATGAGCGTGTTTCAAGTTCCTTGAAGAAGTGCAGAGCGTAACATCCAGAGCGTGTTTCAAATTACTTAGAAAAGTACAGGACATAACATCATGAGCGTATTTCAAGTTCCTTGAAGAAGCGCGGAGCGTAACATCCAGAGCGTGTTTCAAATTACTTAGAAAAGCACACAGCATAACATCATGAGCGTGTTTCAAGTTCCTTGAAGAAGTGCAGAGCGTAACATCAAGAGCGTGTGAGAAGCTGCTAGGAAAAAGTGCTGAGCGTAACATCAAGAGCGTGTGAGAAGTTGCTTGAAGAATCGCAGAGCGTAACATCAAGAGCGTGTTAGACGTTCCCTGAAGAAGTGCAGAGCGTAACATCAAGAGCGTGTTAGAAGTTGCTGGGAAAAAGTGCTGAGCGCACATCAAGAGCGTGTTAGGCAAGAGCGTGTTAGGCAAGAGCGTGTTCCACGCACTCTGCACATGACGTTAATACCCCCACCCCCCCCACCCCACCCCATTGACAGAGCAAGACCGCGTGAGAAAAAGTAGAGGAGAAACAGAAAAACGCACGAAAGCTGGCGGCGTTCTATCTGCCACCAGCCAACTACAGGATGTGCATTAGCTAGGTTTTTCACCCATGTTGCCGAGGTTTCAGATACTGCCACTGTTAGGCGAGAGTTTCAGACGATGTTCAACACCATTGCATGATTGCATGGCCGCGGGCTAGGCGCAAGCGCTTGGCTCTTCCCATTCGACTGGGGGACCTCTATGAGATTCAAAAGCTGTTGAAAGGTGTTAGTTTTCTTGAAGCTTTGGAAACTATTTTTGTGCGACAGCATGCTCATCCTTGCTGGACGTTGATGGCTCTATACTCTTGCAACACTTTACACGGCAAACAGACCTCGCTGGCCCCTGGGCCGTGGACTGCAGCAGAGAAGCGTGTGGTAGAGGCCGTCCGATCTTCAGTAGATCGTTCGTTGCGGCTTGGATGGGATGTCAGAGTTGATGCTGCCGAGACCGAAAAAGATGTCAAGCTTGCGAGACTGTCTTTTGCGGGGGAAGAAGTAGGCACATGTCACAAATTAAGTAGAAGTCAAATTCTCCCTGCACTACCACCGCTAGGACCTGGAGGGTGTATCGATTTTTTTGCAGTTTGTGGGGCCGTTCACCAAGAAACTGTTGATGAATCCGGAGCTTTGCATTGTGGAAGATACAGGACAATCACTCCCTAAGCTGCAGGGGAAGATCCATGTTGAGAAAGGGGATTTAGAAGGGGTGTCTGACTTGTTGGTTGAGAGAGGTATTTGCACTTGGACTCCATTGGACGATGTGGCGACTTATAGGGGCCAACCTATCCTTAATGGACTTTTTGGGGTGAAGAAATCGGGGGTCACGGCGGACAACAAGCCTGTTCTGAGAGTCATCATGAACTTCAACCTAGTCCCTTCTAACTCGGTGATGGTACAATTGCAAGGTAATGTAAGGAACTTGCCAAGTTGCCAAGTATTACATCCTGGATGTCTTGCGTGCTCGAGGGCGACGACAGTGTCAAAGTTTGGCAGTCGGATATGTCCAACGCATTCTATTTGTTTAGGTTACCTGCACCATGGCAAAGATTTTTATCTTTCAATGTCTTGAGAGACGGAAAAGACATGGGTCTGTCACCTGGGAAATCATATGCTTTAAGTTGTACAGTATTACCGATGGGATGGCTGTCTTCGGTGTCAATCATGCAAGAGATTTCGGAGA